TCCTCTGACCGGAGGGGGTCGTTTCTGACTTACTTTCTTCGGGCCAGTAGAAGTTTCCTCGGGAATCGAACCAACCATGTTCTTGTGAGATCCACATGTATACCACTCGGCTATCCTGCCACAATTTATTGCCAAACAATGCCATAAATGGACAATCAATTATAGATACATAAGATCTCAGTCCGCCTTGGTCTGCTCGGATCAGCCTGCGTCCTCACTTCTTTCCCTCCCTCTTCCCAATATCAAACACAAAGACATTCTAATTTCAAATATTTATTCGCAACGGAATGATTTGAAACAACACAAACACGACATATCATATCATATAAAAAGAAACAAGAAGATGAACTTACCTTTTACTAGCAACTATTTTCTTTTACCTTAAGTGTGACCAGTTTCTATCTTTAATGGTTCCAAAACAAACAAAAAAAGCTTTTCGAAACGATAACGAAACTGTAAGCGCGTACCGTATAAGGATAGAGAATTGAGAGCTGATTCAAATGAGTACAAACATGATTGTATTAATTGAAAATCAAGGCTCAACATTAGCAAAAAATTGTTGGTGGCGCTATAAAGAGAAGATTCCAGAAAAAAATTTTTCATAATCAACGACATCTTAAGCGCATACCATATTACGATGAAGAATGAAAAGCTGATTCGAAAAAATTGAAACATGAATGTGTTTAGTAGACAACAAGGCTCAACATTGGCAAAAAAAAGTTTTTGGTCGCGCTATGAGGAGAAAATTTTTGAAAAAAAAACTTTCTCCAAACGAAATTCCAAGCGCATAAAATGTTCGGAAAGAGAGAAAACAGATTATCAGACAGTGAAATACAACAGGGAAGACTAGAGGTGAAGAGGTAAGGCAAGAACAAGGCAGTCAGTAAGAGAATCTTCTCAAACGAAAAAAAAACGAACTGCAACTGAAAAGAAAAAATAAGAGAAACAAATTCAATATCACAGCAGCCAACTATTAATCTCAACATTGCGGAACTAAACAACGCAAGAGCTACAAGTGCGAAACGATGCAACAGAAGTTTCAAGATCGTGGCTGAACTAACAACTTTCTCAACTGAGAACAATCTCCAGAATAGTCATCGAGACCGCTTCCTAACTCTCCTTGTCAACACGTGACAAAATTCAGCACAGCAGAGATGAAGAAATCAGTTAACAAGCAATGAAAAATCCATTCTTTCATCTACATATTTGTTGAAACTTCATAAAAGTTCTCAAAATGGAATTTTGTTCGTTCGAGTTCGTTGGAGCACAGTTCAACCCAGCCAACCGCCACGCGTCAGAAATCTTTTGAAGCTTACATCTTCAGACACGATTGTTCTGACGAACTCTCATCTGGTCCAGGGTCATCAGCACCAGATTATGCACTAGAAATGCTCAAAAGAATTAGAGTCGAAAATTTCAAGAAAATTGAAAGAAAGCCCTATTAACCATCAGCCTTTTTTTCAATTTTCGGAGGAGTCGAGAAGTCATCAACTCCAACCGGGGCGAAATTTGGTCAGAAGCAGCAGTTGAGAATTCTGAGAGCTTCTGTCGAATTTTGAAGTTGTAATATCTAAAAGCAGCAGAGTAATACAGCTTTGAAGTAAAAGCTCAAAATGGCTAAATCTCGATGTCGGGATCCCATTTGAAAGATCAAAGTCTAAGGAATAGAAAGAGATAGGTGTCATCGAGTTTGATCAAGTGTACACAGAAAGAGAAGCTAGCAAAAATGCTGGGGAAAACTTATCGCGCGCAGCGGCTACAGTAACCTAAGATTTTCTGCCAACATTCTGTAAGCAACAGGATAGTAAAGCTTTTGAAATATACCTTGAACACGGTAATAGCGCTTCTAATTAATTCTTAATTGATGATCTGGGAATCAGGGTTTCACTATCTTTCCGAGTCTGAAGAAGGCAGGCAATCATAAAAGGCTTTGTAATCATAGAGTAGGTATTCATCATGAAAGCTGTTAAGAGAAGACTACTACAAAATTCTGAGAATATTCATTAATACATAACTATTACTACATATTTACAAACAACTATGAGATGGTATTCAAGTTCGAGTCGATCATTCTATACTGATCCTCTTCTTCATAAAGATACTTCAATAAGTTACCTACCTTCACGATCAAGCAAAGATAGATTCTGATTTAACGAGTTTATTCCAAATGCGTTACAAAATAAGTGCTCACAAAATGGCATATCAGAAGATATGAAATAAACACTTATTTGTGCCATTTAAGATCTCCCGTAGCAACCCAGTTTGGAAGTGAAGATGTGCTCAACTAACTTTTACCGCTAAGACAGGTCTTATCTATAATGCTGATATACTTAAATCCCGCATACTTTCT